CAAGGTTTAGTTTCCCCAAACTCCACCAGTGTTCACATTTGGGCATATTGAGCCTTTGTGCCAAGTTTGGTCCAGATCTATCATTCTTTAAGTCCACAGTGCTCTTTGGATGTAGGTGAACTACAACTCCAAAGCTCAAGGTTAATGCTCACCAAACCCTTTTATATTGCTCATGGGAGTTCTGTGTGCCAAGTTTGGTTCAATTCCATCATTGGTGGAGTTTGCAATGCTCTTTGATTGTAGGTGAACTATAAATCCAAGCAACTACAACTTCCAAATGACAAAATCAAAACCCATCCCCAACCCCACCATTATTCAAATTTGGGCATATTGGGTATTTGTGCCAAAAGCAGGCTAGCTCCTGTGCAAATAAAGAATGTCCCACCCCAGTCCCCAACTAATATCAAGTAAACAGTGTGGTGGAGATTTACTAAGGGGTGAACTGATCTAACAAAGTTCTATAGGGAAAAATAAATAGATGAGTGAATAAAATTATTAACACAGAGATAAAGAAATGCTCCTATCTCCTTTCCAATACTTAAATCTGCTTCTCTCTCTGGATGGATCTACACTGCCCCATATCCAGGGGCGGCTCAACCCATTACGCAAAGTAAGCATTTGCAGTATAGTTGATTTTGCCCAGGGGTGCTCTTGAAGCTGTCTTGGGGGAAAATAGACCTTGACATATGTGAGTTGTAGTTACTGGGATGTATAGTTCACCTATAATCAAAGAGCATTCTGAACTCCACCAATGATGGAATTGAACCAAATATGGCACACAGAACTCCCACGACAAACAGAAAATATATATCAGTGATTGGTGGGGGGGGGGGGGGGGGGGGTGGTGGTTACCAAAATACTGTTTGCTTACCGTTGAAAATTACCTAGGGCCGCCTCTGCCTATATCCCAGGATCTGATCCCAGATTATCTGGCAGTGTAGATTTATGTAATCCAGTTCAAAGCAGATAATCTGGGATCAAATCCTGGGATACAGTGCAGTGTAGATGCAGCCTCTGTCAAAGAATTACAAGAGAAAAGGTTCCCTTTTCAACAGCCCCCCCCCCCCCCCCCCTTTCTCACCTCATTATGGCTTGTGATGCCTGGACAGATTTTGCAACTAGTCACCCTCCACAGAAAGCCAGCCAAACACTATCCCACACTTCCATGGTGTGGGAAACTGAAGGTCGAGTTCAAAGAAAGATGGCTTTGCAATGCCAGGACCTAAGGTCCTAAAGGTACTAGCCGGAGGCTTTGAGGGATGTACATATGCTGTTTCTTTTAAGCTGCAGAAATGGAAAACTGCAAGATGTAAAGAAGAGAATAACAATCCTCTCCCTTTTCCTCCCTCTTTCCAGTGTCATGTATATTTTTCGAAGACGAAGAGGAGACAGCCTTATGCCCCTTCTTTTGTTTCGGCTCCCTCAACCTCTTTGCATGTAAATCTCCCAGGTCGTTCTGTCACAGTGTAGGAAATCCTAAACTTTCCCCTTTCACCTTTGGAGATGGAGGCTGACAGTGCTCTAAGGGCTGTTTTTAATTTCTTCTCCTGCGCCTTGTTTCCAACTTCCAGTAACCTTATCATGGGGTTTTCTGGGCAAGGAAATCTATTTCATTTTCCTTCATCTTATTTAACCCAGCTTTGACAGCAGCTTCTCCTCCCTCCTTCCCTTTTTTGTGATTTCCCCTCCAGTCCTCTTTGCCCTACATGGCTTCAGTTGCCCCTTAGGCAAGAATTCAAGAACTCTTTGGAAAGGTGAGGGGGTCCACAAGGGTAAACAGGTCATTATTAATTTTGCCTACTGCAGATGTATTTTTACAAAACAAAGCCAAACAAAATATATTAATAGCATCATCACCATGTCAAATGAAGCATAACAATTAGGCTATCATGAAAACAGTGACAAAATAAACAACTATTATAAAACTTAAAACTAACTAAATAAAAACAAGTTATAGAAAAAATCTATTAGTCTCAAGACGTATTTCAAGACCTGCTTGAAATTATTTCAAAGGAACTCATGGGTTCCCTCACCACGTAATATACCATTGTAAGAGTTAATGTGGAGATGTGTTAGAAAATATAGAGGACTACAGACAGAAATAAAAGAAAATGCATTAGCCAAGTTTGAGATATAGATAAACACATTTCGAAACGTGGACCGTCTACAGACGTCACACTCAACTCCTGGAATGATTCCATTAGTGTTGCCTCCAAAAAATCCTGCAAATCTCTTGGGAAGACAAGCGGACAAATGTCAGCGTTCTGGAAGAAGCAAAGATCACCATTACTGAAGCAATGATCCCCTGCCATCAACTCAAATGGACTGACCATGTTGTCTGAATGCCTGATCACCGTCTCCCAAAGCAGTTCCTATACTCCCAACTCAAGAACGGAAAACGTAATGTTGGTGGATAGGAAAAGAGATTTTAAAATGGGATTAAAACCAACCTTAAAAACTGTGGCATAGACACCAAGAACTGGGAAGCCCTGACTCTTGAGTACTGTAACTGGAGGTCAGCTGTGACCAGCAGTGCTGTGGAATCCAAAGAGGCATGTAATTGTTGGCAAAAGGGAGAAATGTGCCAAGAGGATGGCACGTCAAGCCAACCCTGATTGGGACCGCCTTCCACCTGGAAACCGATGTCCTCACTGCAAGATAACATGTGGATCAAGAATGGGGCTCCACAGCAACCTACGAACCCACCGCCAAGACACTGCACTTTGAGGACCATCATCCTCGAGCTACGAGGGATCGCCTAAGTAAGAAAGTATAGATAAACACTTGATGCAAAACCTAGATAGCACCATTTGTTCCATCAGGATGGTAGGAGCAAAAAAGTCTAAAGAATTCCAAAAGGGTAATCTAGGTGGTCAGTTGAAACATTCANTACAACAGCAAAACAACAGAGAGTAAACAATCAGGCACATCAAATCACCTCTCAACAAAAGATTCCCCCCAGTTACTTCCAAGCCATGAAATGCTAATCAAGGTGGTCAGTTGAAACATTCACACCTAGCTCCAGCAGACAAGAGTCCTTTGTCCCACCCTGGTCATTCCACAGATATATAAACCCATTTTCCTAGTTCCAACAGACCTCACTACCTCTGAGGATGCTTGCCATAGATGCAGGCGAAACGTCAGGAGAATATGCCTCTAGACAATGGCCATATAGCTCGAAAAAACCTACAACTCATTATTATTATTATTATTATTATTATTATTGTTGTTGTTGTTAGTATTATTATTGGCCGGTGACTGCTGGAAGAGCACTTTGGTCTTCTCGATGTTCAATGACAGGCTGAATATTCATTCAATAGCATGACGGTTGGGTACCACTTTTCTCCCCACTTTTTGTGCCAAAGGGAGGCTGACCCACCCACCCATTTATCCTCCTTAAGACTTAAGACTTTGGACCCCTTCCTTTATTATTATTATTATTTTGGCTTAATTCTCGGATCTGTTGCATTTCACCCCCACCTCCTGCCCTTGGACCTCTATGATTTCATCCTATGGAGAAGGCCGAAAAGTGATGCTCGGAGCATCCAGGCAAGGAGGAGGAAGAGGAGGAGCGGCCGGGCAGGATCCCACACCTTCCTCCCTGTGTTGTGTGCTTGTGTGTGTGTGTGTTGCAGACTCTGGAGCAGCAGCAGCAGCATCCGCATCTGTGCCTCCTCCATCTCCTCCTCCTCTGAGCATCCCTCGCCTTCCTCCGGCAATGCAGGGCTCTCCATCCTGCGCAGGCAGCCACCGTTGAGCAAAGGAACCCTCCGCAAAGGCAGCAAGGCTTGGCCAGCAGCGCAGAGGGGTGAGCCGGACCCCAGACCCAAGGTGGGAGGGGTATGGTGGGAGGGGGAGGGGGTCTATGGCATCATCGGCCCTCCTCTTCCACTCCCAGACTTGATGCATGCATTTACTCTCTCACTGTCGGGACCCTCGACCCATTTGGGTCTACCCCCCCATGCTTTGTTGGGCCCAATACCTGCTTAATGGGGAGGGGGCTTCATCCACCAAAGACACTTTGGCTGGATTTCAGGAGAGAAAGGCCACCCTCTTAGTCCTTCCTTTGGTTTGGATGACTCTCCTGCACCCCTTTATTTACAAACACACTGGGGAAGGCGCCATCCACTCCGTCCCCACATCTATAATCTCCCCAAATTATGCCTCGTTGATACGTCTCCATATCTACAATTTCCCAAGCAATGCCTTATTTACATTGAGGTGTCATCCATTCCATCCCAACTTCCCATACAGTTCCTCATATATGTTGGGGTACCCACCAATGCCATAGCAATGTCTTATAGACATTGGGGTACCTTAAAGTGCATCTGTTCGGTCCCCACATCTCTAACTTCCCCATACAGTTGCTCAAATATATTGGGGTACCCACCAATGCCATAGCAATGTCTTATAGACATTGGGGTACCTGAAAGTGCCATCTGTTCGGTCCCCACATCTCTAACTTCCCCATACAGTTGCTCAAATATATTGGGGTACCCACCAATGCCATAGCAATGTCTTATAGACATTGGGGTACCTGAAAGTGCCATCTGTTCGGTCCCCACATCTCTAACTTCCCCATACAGTTGCTCAAATATATTGGGGTACCCACCAATGCCATAGCAATGTCTTATAGACATTGGGGTACCTGAAAGTGCCATCTGTTCGGTCCCCACATCTCTAACTTCCCCATACAGTTGCTCAAATATATTGGGGTACCCACCAATGCCATAGCAATGTCTTATAGACATTGGGGTACCTTAAAGTGCCATCTGTTCGGTCCCCACATCTCTAACTTCCCCATACAGTTGCTCAAATATATTGGGGTACCCACCAATGCCATAGCAATGTCTTATAGACATTGGGGTACCTGAAAGTGCCATCTGTTCGGTCCCCACATCTCTAACTTCCCCATACAGTTGCTCAAATATATTGGGGTACCCACCAATGCCATAGCAATGTCTTATAGACATTGGGGTACCTGAAAGTGCCATCTGTTCGGTCCCCACATCTCTAACTTCCCCATACAGTTGCTCAAATATATTGGGGTACCCACCAATGCCATAGCAATGTCTTATAGACATTGGGGTACCTTAAAGTGCATCTGTTCAGTCCCCACATCTCTAACTTCCCCATACAGTTGCTCAAATATATTGGGGTACCCACCAATGCCATAGCAATGTCTTATAGACATTGGGGTACCTGAAAGTGCCATCTGTTCGATCCCCACATCTCTAACTTCCCCATACAGTTGCTCATATATATTGGGGTACCCTCCAATGCCATAGATTCTGTCCCCATAGCAATGTCTTATAGACATTGGGGTACCTTAAAGTGCCATCTGTTCGGTCCCCACATCTCTAACTTCCCCATACAGTTGCTCAAATATATTGGGGTACCCACCAATGCCATAGCAATGTCTTATAGACATTGGGGTACCTTAAAGTGCCATCTGTTCGGTCCCCACATCTCTAACTTCCCCATACAGTTGCTCAAATATATTGGGGTACCCACCAATGCCATAGCAATGTCTTATAGACATTGGGGTACCTGAAAGTGCCATCTGTTCGGTCCCCACATCTCTAACTTCCCCATACAGTTGCTCAAATATATTGGGGTACCCACCAATGCCATAGCAATGTCTTATAGACATTGGGGTACCTTAAAGTGCATCTGTTCAGTCCCCACATCTCTAACTTCCCCATACAGTTCCTCATATATGTTGGGGTACCCACCAATGCCATAGCAATGTCTTATAGACATTGAGGTACCTGAAAGTGCAATCTGTTCGGTCCCCACATCTCTAACTTCCCCATACAGTTGCTCATATATATTGGGGTACCCACCAATGCCATAGATTCTGTCCCCATAGCAATGTCTTATAGACATTGGGGTACCTTAAAGTGCCATCTGTTCGGTCCCCACATCTCTAACTTCCCCATACAGTTGCTCAAATATATTGGGGTACCCACCAATGCCATAGCAATGTCTTATAGACATTGGGGTACCTGAAAGTGCCATCTGTTCGGTCCCCACATCTCTAACTTCCCCATACAGTTGCTCAAATATATTGGGGTACCCACCAATGCCATAGCAATGTCTTATAGACATTGGGGTACCTGAAAGTGCCATCTGTTCGATCCCCACATCTCTAACTTCCCCATACAGTTGCTCATATATATTGGGGTACCCTCCAATGCCATAGATTCTGTCCCCATAGCAATGTCTTATAGACATTGGGGTACCTTAAAGTGCCATCTGTTCGGTCCCCACATCTCTAACTTCCCCATACAGTTGCTCAAATATATTGGGGTACCCACCAATGCCATAGCAATGTCTTATAGACATTGGGGTACCTGAAAGTGCCATCTGTTCGGTCCCCACATCTCTAACTTCCCCATACAGTTGCTCAAATATATTGGGGTACCCACCAATGCCATAGCAATGTCTTATAGACATTGGGGTACCTGAAAGTGCCATCTGTTCGGTCCCCACATCTCTAACTTCCCCATACAGTTGCTCAAATATATTGGGGTACCCACCAATGCCATAGCAATGTCTTATAGACATTGGGGTACCTGAAAGTGCCATCTGTTCGGTCCCCACATCTCTAACTTCCCCATACAGTTGCTCAAATATATTGGGGTACCCACCAATGCCATAGCAATGTCTTATAGACATTGGGGTACCTGAAAGTGCCATCTGTTCGATCCCCACATCTCTAACTTCCCCATACAGTTGCTCATATATATTGGGGTACCCTCCAATGCCATAGATTCTGTCCCCATAGCAATGTCTTATAGACATTGGGGTACCTTAAAGTGCCATCTGTTCGGTCCCCACATCTCTAACTTCCCCATACAGTTGCTCAAATATATTGGGGTACCCACCAATGCCATAGCAATGTCTTATAGACATTGGGGTACCTGAAAGTGCCATCTGTTCGGTCCCCACATCTCTAACTTCCCCATACAGTTGCTCAAATATATTGGGGTACCCACCAATGCCATAGCAATGTCTTATAGACATTGGGGTACCTGAAAGTGCCATCTGTTCGGTCCCCACATCTCTAACTTCCCCATACAGTTGCTCAAATATATTGGGGTACCCACCAATGCCATAGCAATGTCTTATAGACATTGGGGTACCTTAAAGTGCATCTGTTCAGTCCCCACATCTCTAACTTCCCCATACAGTTCCTCATATATATTGGGGTACCCTCCAATGCCATAGATTCTGTCCCCATAGCAATGTCTTATAGACATTGGGGTACCTTAAATTCCTTATTTACATTGAGGTGTCATCCGTTCCATCCCAACACCTCTAACTTCCCCATACAGTTCCTCATATATATTGGGGTACCCTCCAATGCCATAGATTCTGTCCCCATAGCAATGTCTTATAGACATTGGGGTACCTTAAATGCCTTATTTACATTGAGGTGTCATCCGTTCTATCCCAACACCCATAACTTCCCATACAGTTCCTCATATATGTTGGGGTACCCTCCAATGCCATAGATTCCGTCCCCATAGTAATGTCTTATAGACATTGGGGTACCTTAAATGCCTTATTTACATTGAGGTGTCATCCGTTCCATCCCAACACCTATAACTTCCCATACAGTTCCTCATATATGTTGGGGTACCCTCCAATGCCATAGATTCTGTCCCCATAGCAAGGTCTTCTAGACATTGGGGGTACCTTAAAGTGCCATCTGTTCAGTCCCCACATCTCTAACTTCCCAATACAGTTCCTCATATATGTTGGGGTACCCTCCAGTGCCATAGATTCCGATTCCATATCTAAAATCTCCCAAGCAATGGGTTATAAATATTGGGGTACCCTCCAGTGCCATCCATCATCATCATCATCATTGAATTATTATTATTGTTATTATTATTATTATTATTATTATTATTATTATTATTATTATTATTATCCATTCCAGGCCCCACATCTCTAATCTCCCAAGCAATGTCTCATATATGTCGGGGTACCCTCCAGTGCTACAGATTCCGTCCCCATTTCTACAATCTCCCAAGGAATGCCTTATGTACATTGGGGTACCCTCCAGTGCCATGTACTGTTGTTGTTGTATTATTATTATTATTATTATTATTATTATTATTATTATTATTATCCGTTCAGACCCCAAATTGATAATCTCCCAAGCAATGTCTTATATACATTGGGGTACCCTCCAGTGCCATAAATTCAATCCCCATATTTACAATCTCCCAACCAATGCCTTATATACTTTGGGATACCCTCCAGTGCCATCTATTATTATTATTATTATGATTGAATTATTATTATTATTATTATTATTATTATTATTATTATCCATTCAGATATACATAATATACATTGGGATAGCCTTCAGTGTCATTTATCATCATCATCATTATCATCATCATCATTGAATTGTTATTATTGTTGTTGTTGTTATTATTATTATTATTATTATTATTATTATTATTATCCATTCAGGCCCCACATCTCTAATCTCCCAAGCAATGTCTCATATATGTCGGGGTACCCTCCAGTGCTACAGATTCCGTCCCCATTTCTACAATCTCCCAAGGAATGCCTTATGTACATTGGGGTACCCTCCAGTGCCATGTACTGTTGTTGTTGTATTATTATTATTATTATTATTATTATTATTATTATTATTATCCGTTCAGACCCCAAATTGATAATCTCCCAAGCAATGTCTTATATACATTGGGGTACCCTCCAGTGCCATAAATTCAATCCCCATATTTACAATCTCCCAACCAATGCCTTATATACTTTGGGATACCCTCCAGTGCCATCTATTATTA